AAAAAAAAAATTTGTCCCGACGATCTATCTTCTATACGCAAATGGCTACCATATTGAAAAATATACTATTTTTGTATGATAATTATGGGTTTTGTATTTTATTTTAATAGAAGTTGATGTTGCTTTTGCAATTATCCATCAATTTTTTAAAATTAAACACTATCTACAGATTTGCATCGAAGCGTTTCTTATGATAGTGATTTTAATCACTGTCAGATATCATCTATACTGGACCCAACTATGCCACGACCCCACTGTGCCGCCACCCCACTGTGCTGAGTTTTTTATATTTAAATTAAATTTTTCAAAATTTTTTTATTTTGAACATATGTTCAAATAAGGCTTATGTTATGTATTTTAAGTTCAAAAAAAAAAAAAGAACTTTGCCCTGAATATATTTCTTTATTATATAAATACTTCCTAAAGTTAAACTAAAAATATTATTTTGGTTTAAAAATCATAATTTTTAAAATTTTTATTTAAATTCTTATACAATTTTTGTATTAATATCAGAAGGTATTAATTTTACAATGATATGTTTATTGTTGTAACAATGAACCCAACTCTTATTTTGGTCAAATATAATTTAGTATATCGAAATAGTTAAATTTTTACTGAAGAATACAAATTTTTTAGTTTCAAAATTTTAAGCCGAAAATTGAATACGTAGATAACTTAATTAGCATTAATATATAGTATATTTCTAGTAAGGTTCAAGTAAGCTTAACATGTTTTAGCTTCGATGCGAAGCTTAGAAGGTATTGGTTTTACTATGATGTGTTTTTTTTTTTTTTTGTGTCTTTTACCACTTTTTCTCAGCTCTCACTGAACGGATTTCTTTCAACGATACGTCAAAAGATCACAAATCGTATCTAGTCGAAGACATTACCCTTAAAAATTGGAAAAATTTGCCTCATCCATCGTAAATGGGGGAAACCTCCAAAAAAATTACATATTTAAAAATCGCTAATTTTCGAAATTTTTTCAATTTTTTTTACTAAAAACTGCCGTAACTTTTTAAAAAATGAATATATCAATATAATTTTTTTTTATATAGATGCTTGATATCATTACCTATCATTTAGTATATTTTTTTTGTAAATTTGACCCTTTATCTGCCCACAGGGGGGGATTGAAAATGACAACTTTTTCACAAAAAATTAACTTTTTTAACTTAACTTTTGAAAATGTTCCGGAAGGTAAGACACTTTTATATATATCTTAAATTAAAGCTTATGTAATATACTTTAATTAAAACAAAAAAAATTTGACCTATGGACTTGTTTTCATGGTGAAAATGGCTATCAAATGCTATTTTTGTGTAAAAAATCTCGATTTAAATTTTTATATTTTTAACTTTATAATGCTATAACTTATTGAAAAGTGTATGGATCAACACAATTTTTTTATGAGAAATAATATTTTTTAATAATCCCTTTTCATTTGACATATTTTATCTTAATCAAGATATTAATAAGGAACTAGCAGATCATGTAGCTTTTAGAATAATACACCAATTTTTTAAAATTAAAAACTATCTAAAGATTTGCATCGAAGCGTTTTTTTTTATAGTGATTTTAATCACTGTCAGATATCATTATACTTGATCCAACTATACCACGTCACCACTGTGCCGCGACCCCCCTGTGCTGGGTTTTTTTAAAAATGAACATATCATTATAATTTTTTTTTTACTTTAAAATGCTATAACTTTTTAAAATATGTATGGATCAATACAATTATTTCACGATAAGTAGTATTTATATACTTTATATGTCATTCGACATACTTTATCTTAATCAGGATATTAATAAGGAAATAACAGATCATGTAGCTTTTGGAATAATCCACCAATTTCTTAAAATTGAACATTATCTAAAGATTTGTCAAAAACAATGAATACAGGTTTGGTCCAAAACTAACCCCCCCTCCCTCTTAAGATTTAAATGTAAAATCGTATTGCAGATAAAATAATTATATACGCAGTGGGTAAAGTTAAAAAAAACTAAAACAGAAATACTGTTTTAAATAGAAAATTACAATTCTGGAGTCATTAGATAACTTTTTTGATATTTCAATCGCTAATTTTTTGGAGACTAACTTTTGAAATAATGAACATGAATTAATTTTTCTTAAACCAGTCTCTAGTACTACAATTTCAGAATATAATTTTATTCCCGTTATAGCTCTCTAATAAACTCAAGATATAAAAAATAATAATTTTGAAGAACTTCAACTGAGAACAGTAAATGTTTTTTATAAATTTATTTAAAATATTTTTTTAATAAAAAACAATTATTTGAAAAGTATTAAATAATCAATTGTCAATTATTAAAATATTCAAGAATATCCTATTTTATATATTACGCTTAATTTATAAAAATAATATATAAGTTCTTAAGATTAGTGAACAATTTTTTGTCTACAATAAAATATACATAAATATCAGCCAAACTGCATAAAAAAAAAATGTTAAGCTTACTGGAATCTTACTAGAAATATACCATATAATGAGACTAATTATGTTATCTACGTATTCAATTTTTTGCTTAAAATTTTGAAACTAAAAAATTTGTATTCTACAGTAAAAATTTAACTATTTCGATATACTAATCATAATATTTGACCAAAATAAGAGAGGTTGTTCATTGTTTTGTTGTAAAATTTTTAATCAAATAAATAAGTGGTTCATAATAAGTGAATCGCTATGTATATATATTTTATAAATATTTAATGATTATTCTATTTTTTAAATTTATTTCAAAAGTTACCTTTTTTGTACATCATATTTATTAAAATTTGATCTACCATATCTCTTCCATTTCTACGATAACTAGATATTTCATTTATCTTCTTTGACAACATAATAGAAAACCATTTTTTGGTAATGACTGTATTATAAAGAATATCATGAAGCCACTTGATGCCTTTATGATATTTGTCTAGTTTGACCTATTCAATTAAAACATTTATTATGAGTCTAAAGTTTCAAATATTAATTATTAAAATTGTATATTTAAAACTAAATTAATAATTGATTAATTATTATATCCAATATGATAACATTTTTTGATTCTGATAAGTAAAACAAAAAAAATTATTTAAACAATCAAAAATTGAGTTGAGTTAAGTAATTTCCAAAATCATATTACATTTAACATTTAATTTATCATACCAAGAATAATAAAATAATTTCGTAAAATATATAGACAATGATTCTTTTAACACTAGCCACTTAGTTGCTCTTAAGAAAATAATGTAATTTAATTTTTTTAAATAGAAACATACATTTTTAACAAACTTGTAAAATAAAAAATGACTAAATAAGATAATGACTAGTCGATAACAAATTTTTGACCTGTCATTTTCTTAATTAGATTATTTTCTATTTTATAAACTAGTTCAATATGTATGATTCCAGAAAAGAAATATAGTTAACACCCCTATAAGACATAAGAAGTAAGCATTAAAAATAATTTATTACAGATAAATGGATTATACATATGTCACTAACAAAAGACAAAAAAAATTATTATTTAAGAAGAATTGATCGACTAGTGTTAAATTAATCACCTTGCATATATATATATATATATAATTAAAAAAATGTAAAAACTCTCTATAATTAGAACATACATAAACTGATATAAATATGACAGAAGAAAAATATCCAAATGTAAACGATTTTGAACAAATCCCAATAGATGCTTGTTTATGTATAATGTCTTTATCTAATTTTGCATTTACATTCGTATAAATTTTATCTCTTCGTATTGAAGGACTATTTATTATTAAATCAAGAAAAGTGGGTAAGTATTTTCTAAGATTCAATGCCAAATCTTTAGTGTTGATAAGTACTCTCATCTAAAACGAATTATTGAAAATTATACTTCTAGTAGGTAATACAAGTAATTAAAATGTATGCATAATTTGTTACTTACATTAACAAAATTACTTTTAACATTGTCAATTTCAACAAACAATGGAACTTCGGAAGTTTTGAATAAATTGTGTTGATATATTGAATTTGATGAAAAAGTATCATGAGTTAAAAACTGTATGAGATCAACATTAGGGATTTTAATTGACGTTAACATTTCACTGGGGGGTTTTTTCTGAAATTTATGAATCTTAAATTAATTGATGCTTTAAAATCACTGTACTATACAATGTTATTATTATTTCCAAAGTTTTTTTAATACATAAAACACGATAGGTGCCTTAAATTTTCATCGTCATCTCAATAGACTCTCACCCAACTATTTATGGTCAGCACTACCATATTAAATTTTTAAACTGGCTAACGTTCAGTCACAGCATTACGATATCTTAAGGAACCAGCAACAGGGACAGGGCTTTGTCACTGTTGTAGTTCCATCTGGAAACAAATAATAAACAGCGCAGTTGTACATTCGCGCTAAGGCGGCGACTTAATTATTCAATTACGCCTTTCTACGACCTTCTAGGTACTTTGAATAATTCTAATAGATTATAAATGATAGCTATTAAACATTGTTATTATTTAATTATTTTTATATTACTTCACATTCTTTTATAGCATTCAGTAGCTCATTAGCTTTTAATTTTAAACCATCATCTCCTAAATCTTTTTTGCGTTGTGATACTCTTTGAATTTCTTCATTAGCTAGCTCATTATGTTTTTTTATAGATGGTATTCCTCTTACAATTACTTTGTGATCATTTAATAAATAATCTCTTAAAATATTTTTCCAAAACAAGATATCTTCACTGAGAAGTTTATTAAAAATTCTTTTTGTGTTCAATATTTCGTCTAACTAAATTTATGCGGTCATAATAAATTTGTTCCTTTAAAGTTATTTAATTTTACTTACGTCTGATTTATTCTTTCCATACAAAAAGTCAAAAATTATTAGGAATGGTAAAATAGAATTAAATCCAGATTCTAGATTTCTTAGGTCAATAAGCTTAAATTTTTTAATACATTTTTTTAGTTCTTCTAGGTCAAAATAATCTTCATCGTTAATTAGCTTTTTAAATACTTCATTTAATTTCAATGGTATTTGTTTTTCATCTAATTTTCTAATTGGTACATTATTAAATACAAGTTTTATAAATGGATTTAAATTATTGCTAATATTGAAAGTCACCTAGAAATAAATGAAAAATAATTCACTAAGAACCATTAATTGAACAAAATAAAAATTTGTATTATTTTTACTTGGCTACATAATGGGTCTGATATTTGAACAAACTCTATCTTCATTTGAATAGTAGTTAAATAACGTAAAAGTATCTCACAAGCCTTATACCTATAAAAAAAAGGTATAATTAATATTTAATAAAATATATATTTTAATTTTATTTAATCAATAAGTAACTCTTATTGTTTATATAATTCTTTAACTATAGTTATTTAATTATTTAAGATTATAATATCAAAATTTGTAAAGTATAATATTTAGCAGATAAATAAATTTATATACAAATATATATATGTATAAAGAATTGAACAGATCAAATTGACAACTCTTATAAATTATTATACAGTTAACACTATAGTTTTTTAACTACAATCTGTAGTTTAGATTGTTAGTTATGAAGTTATTTAACATATAGTGTTAATATAGTGTTAACATAGTGCAATATAGAGCTTTAAAAGTAAAAATAAGTTTAAAATTTTGGGAAGTGCGGTTAATAAACCTAAGAAGTTTAAGCGCTTTACAAAATTTCCTTGGATATATGCAGTAAGAGAAAAATTTTTATCAAGAAGAAGCCAAGATAACAAATTTTGTCACTGAATTTTTTATAGGGATACCATTTATGCTATGATTAAAAGTTATAAGAGAGCACAGACTATAGAAAGATATGGATGAACACTTGGCTATATTTAATGAAAGTCCTAAATAGTTGCCCCAAACTACAAGACAACATTAACATAGTAATCTTGGAGTTATAGACATTATTTAATAGGTTAATTCTTATTTTATAAGCAAGCTTAATACATATTTTACCATTTAAAAAATAAAGTTGACACTCCTATACATGTCCTATCACATATAAAAGATAAGACACAGACCCAAAAAATGCTTAAACATTTATAAATCAAGAGATAAACAATAATCAACAACCAGTAACAGTTATTTAAAGTTTAATTGTGATCAGAAAATGCAGTACTTAGTTTAAAGGTGACATCTTGTTGAGTTAATAATTTTTCTAAAAACTAGTTGCGTTTGTCGATATAAAATCCAATAAATCAAATTAACATTTTTATTTTTTCAGGTTTTAATAATATTTCAAAAAACATACATTCTTAAAACCTACAATAAATTTAGTTAATACTATGTACGTAAAGAAAAAATAAAATTATCCGAAATCACAATTTCTAGTAGAAACGCACAATAAGTAAAAGTTCATAAAATATTTAGTAAAATTTGTCGATTTTGAAGTGTTTTACATAACAAAGGAATATTAGCTGCATTCAAAGCCAAACCAAATATAAGTTATTTCCCGTACTCTATGATTAAAAGAAATCGTTTTATTATTTTGGAAATAATTACAATGATTAATTATGTAATCATTTTTTTACTAGGTACATAAATAGTAGCATTTTACAATAGTGGTTTTCATCACTCTCAAATATCAATCAATAAATATTTTAATAATGCCACAATCTCACTTCGCTCAATTCCTACTGTACATTATATATATATTTTTCTTATTATTAGAGACAAACAATAAAAACTTATCTTAATAGAATATATTAATACAACAATTGTTTAAAAATAAATTACAATCATATGATAACTGAATCAAAAGTTATGTTATATTTGGATATAACACTATATGATATAATACATAATATTAAATATATTAAATACTTGTATGAATAAGTTGACCCAACTGGGCCTCTCCAACCGATATTAATATAACCATTGGTCTCTTTATCACATGGAAATAGTTCTACATAATTTGAAGATTCCGTTAAAGGATCTACAGGGTTTTGCCAGGGTTTTATATATTCTCCACGGCTTCCCTTTATTATTAATATTTTAAATTAAATCTTTATTAATATTAAAATTAAACATAAATTTCATTACTTTTGATAAAATCTTTTGAATAACTGGTTCTAGACTATTAAAAAAAGAAAAATGATCTATTTTTCCAGTAACTAGAAGTAACAGATTTTCAGGCCGGTAATATGCTTGATGGTATTTACGAATCTATCAAATTAATTTTATTAGCAATACTTTATTATTATTTATTATATTATGCACAGTTTTAATATCTTTTATACTTTTTCAATAGTAGTTGACTCTCGTAAATTTTTCATTATTCCTCCATGTACTGATTTGTAGCCACATTTACCAGGATATATTTTTTTTAATAATGATTGTCGTACAATATTTTCTGCAGTATTTTCTACTTCTTTTAATTCACAATAAACAACACCAGCATCTTTACCATCGGAAGTTATATGGTGAACTTGTGTGATAAAACCTGAATCCTAAAATTCACAAGATATTGTTGACAATTTATAATAAAGTTTAAATAAAATAAAAATTACAGTTAAAGTAGGATATAAAATATGGTCAAGATAAATTGGAAGCAACGAAAGAAATCCTTCACTCCCTGCTGTGCTGACTGTATAGCAAGTATGATCCACANCGGCTGTGCTAACTGTATAGCAAGTATGATCCACAGCTATAAAATAATATATTAATAATTAGAATATAAGAAACATTTCTAATAATTTTTGATAAATTACCAGTATAGGCATTAGTCCCTGAAGCAAGACAACGATTTGATAATAAATCAAGAACCCCTTTGTAAGGATAATCTTCCGATCCAAGAAATATTAAATGCTCTAATGTGTGTGGAATACCATCATCATCATAAGTTTCTGTGGCTAAACATTTCATAAAATAAATTATTTAATTATTATATTTTAATTATATTTTGTAAAATTAATTTACCCAAAGTGAAGTATCCATTTACAACTGGACCATCAATGTCACCAAATACAATAGTAATCCCAGTACGTAAGCATNTTTGTTAGTTGAGAAGTTATTTAACATTGTCAACCAAAGCACAAACTCATGATACTTGTTAACACTTTTCTTTAGAAGTTAATCAACCATGACACGGCCACGGCGTGTCACCCGTTTGGCATAATATTATCGGGTATATGGCCAAATATTAAAATACTTTGTAATACGACGAAAAGGTACCCCTTCATTTTTGTATACGTGTGTATTATATATTTTTAATTTATCTTGATTGAGCCGTCTGGTTGATGCGATTACGTTTTATATTTTCGTGTTATCGATAATGTTTGATCAGCTTTGTCACAATTTCAATAAAAGTTTTGGTAGAACTCATTATATGTNTCACAATTTCAATAAAAGTTTTAGTAGAACTCATTATATGTAAAACCAACTCAACTCCTCTCCCTAATTTTTTTTTTAATAAATCATGCATATTGTTATGTTGAAATTTTGGAAGTCCGTCCAAGCCTCAATTTCAAATTTGCACTTATGATTGCAAAAATTATGAGCCAAAATTTAAATTACAATAAATCGTACCATAAAAAATCAAATACTATATATTGCTGTTCAAATATGTGATTACAGCGATTTTCATAAAGAAAAACAATATACTCAATAATAATATTCTAATTGGATAGTAATTTTGGCTTGTAATGAATTATTAAGTATTATACAATTAATTTTTATAATCTGAATACATTGTAATAAATAGATTCGCATTTAAATTATATAAACCTTTTAATTGCTTATTTAATTAATCTACAAAATAACTTTATTGATACAATTACAGTTAATGTTACATTTACAATATTAGTCAATGTTACTATTGTTGGTAAATGTTAGCTTGTATTTATTTTTTGTAAAATGTATTTTGCTTTTCTTANATTGTTGGTAAAAAAATGTTAGCTTGTATTTATTTTTTGTAAAATGTATTTTGCTATTCCTAGTAATTAATATTTAAAAAAAATTATTATTTTCGAGATTCTCTGTTATTCGGCTATTTTTAGTATCATTTAATAAAAACATTTAGACTTTTAGACAAGTATAACAGTTAATAATAATTTTATTTTCCTATTTTATTGCTTTGTTATTTTTGAAATCAAAATGTAATAAAATTATAATATTTTAACTATAATTATATTCTATTTTTAAATGTACATAAGCCTATGCAAATGTATTCTAGTCAGTATATATTTTAATAAATTGCTAAATAACAAGGTAAACATATATTGCTTATTTTAGATTATTTTTCGATGAAGTCTTGAAAAAGTGAAATAAAATAAATAAATTTTACCTACAGTAATTTACACCAAATTTAATTTGTCATGGACTAGAATTTACATTTATTTCATTTTCGTTCTTTTTTTTTTTTTGTATTAAGTATAAAATTCAAGTTATAAATATATTAAACGCAAATGTCACGTATATTTTAGCGCATGAGTAGTTTTGTGTAAAATATTTATTTTTAGATAAATATAAGATTACTCATATCATATAATGCCCACGAATTGATTATAAATTTTGAGTACACGTGTTCAGACACGTAATTTTCGCATGTGTAGTATTTAGTCTATATCTATTTTAAACCTATACTTTACAATTATAACTTAAATTCTTATATGAAAAATATTCCAAAAATTTTTCTTAATTTTAGAAAAAACATTTTATATTCTAAAATTACATTTTATAATTCTTTAAATAAAAATTATTGGTCTTTTCAAAACTACAAACATTCTTTTGTTAAATATGTCATGAAAATGAATTGCATTAAGCATATCATTTTTATTTTTGACCCTGGAGGTTAATATTTAATATAATAATTATAAAGTTTTTTTTGAGTGATAATAACAATTATTGTTATTATCTATCAAAAAAATATTTTTTTTTTTTTAATTGTATTATGATTATTAAAAAAAAAAAAATGTTTACATCAATATATATTTAAAATTTCTTTATTTTTAAGTCAAATATATATGACCCCTTAACCCCTTCATCAACCCAACAGTATTGTGGGTGGGCTTGAGCTGGGGGAGGGTGTCATACAGTGGGCGTGGTCTATCGATGGTGGTGGTAATGAACGTGGTCAAGGTCATATAGTGTGCGTGGTTTCTCGATGGTGGGGGTAATGGAGGATTGAATTGGTATGGGTGGGGGTAAGGCGAAGGCCCGGTCTTATCATAGATAAGATAAGGGAGGCGTGGTCTTATCATATGGGGTAAGGGTAGGCTTGGTTTTATGACGGTTGTGGTAAGGAGGAGGCGTTGTCTTATCATAGAGGAGGAAAGGGGAGGTATGGTCTTATGATGGTGGGGGTAAGGAGGAGGCGTGATACCACGATGGTGAAGGTAATAGGTGACTTAGGTGGGGATGTTAAGATCAATCAAAATGGCGGTTTAAAGTGCGCATGCGCACTATAACTTCATGTCAGCGGTGGGGGAGGTAGCCATATGGTTGTTCTCCTCCTATGATGTCATCTACTGGAGGGTAAGGTAAACGTCATGTGAACTGATAAAGTTATCTGATAAACGTACTAGTTATAACATCTACTAGATACATTGAAATAGTGTACGTCATATAGTGGCCGCCGTTGTCGCTATAACATATTTACTTAATATTAACGCAGCAGGGGTGTCCGTCAAAATTCCTACAGAGTGAAGGGGTAATGAAACATAACATAAACTAACTTGTAATGGGTGGGGATGAATCCAAGTTAAACTAACAACGTTTTCTATGAATATTATAATTGCCTACCAGACGCTTAGGTAAGCATATTTCCAACATCAAAGGTACCGCCATATTATAACCCACCATACCGTCTACATTTTATAAAAACAAAGACAACCTCTGTCGTTCTGGCATAATAAATTCTAAGAAATTTATCATGGGTAACCAGACGTTTAGGTAAGCATATTTCCAATATCAAAGGTACCGCTATATTATAACGTTTATAGACGTCAGCATTTTATGAGAACAATTGCTATCATCGTTTAGCTCAGCATATTTCAAACACCAATGAGATCGTAATTGTCGTATGAATCTTATCATCGTTTACCAGACGCTTAGGTAATCATATTTCCAAAGATGTTACCATATATTAAATTGTCACTGTCGTATGCATTTTATGAGAAAAATAGCAATGTTGTCTTTTTTCACGCCTACGCATTTTATTATTTTACTATATAACCGGTTAAACGCTCTGTATCCTGTCACATACGTGTTTAATTGACGTTAACGCACAGTTGATTATTTGAAAACTATAAATTTATTTAATAAAAATTGATCACTTGTGGCTAGTTAATTAAGTAAAATTAAAACTATATTAAAAATATTATTAATTTAAAAAAACTAAAAAATATTAAACTCAAAAGCCACAAAAAAATTAATGAAAAGTCGCGGATACGTATTTCGGAAACAATGTTACCATTATCAACGCTAAACACATACTGACACCCCGACTAGAAAAAACTCCCTTATATACCCCTAGTGACCTTATCACCTAGTGACGTTATCACTAAGTAATATTATCACATTTTGCCAGTTTACACAAGTTTAATAATGAATTTTTCAGTGGGCCAAGATCCCAATTAATTAAATTGTTTTTATTTTTAAACATTTCTATTGCTTCTCTGATATTAAGTTCTTTGTAATTATTTACGTTTTTAATTAGTTTTATGGTTTTAATAGAGTGATTATGTGTCAATAAATGTTC